ATGTAGCTCAGGCTAGCCTTAAACTCAAGGTAATCCTCCTGCCTCAGCCTCCGGAGTGCTGGGATTACAGGGGCGTACAGCCATGCCTGGCTCCTTCTCCCCTTAAAACAGTTTTTTTTTGTTTTGTTTTGGGGAAACAGTGTTTCTTTTTGTAGTTTGGGCTGGCCTTGAACTCACTATGTGGCCTAAGCTGGCCTCAAACTCATGGCAATTCTCCTGCCTCAGCCTCCAGAGTGCTGGGATTATGGGCTTGTGCCACCATGCCTGCCAAAAAAATTGTGAGATAGTGTCTCACTAAATCAGTAGGTTGCCCAGGCAAATGTACTCTCATTAAGTTATAGCAAACTATACCCCCTAAAAGGAACAATATTCATGGTTTATACATTCAGACTATAGAATATCTCATTTGTCTCAACACTGTAGGGAAATGAATTGAGAATGTTTTAAATACATTTTTTTTCCCTCTTTTTCAGTGCTGAAGACAGAGTTCAGACCTCGCGCATGACAGGCAAGTGCTCCTTATGTTCATTTTTCAAAAAATGAGCTATAAAGCCAGGTGTATTGGTGCATACCTGTCATCTCAGCACTTGGAAGGCTGAGGTAGGAGGACTGCTGTGAGTTCGAGGTCAGTCTGGGCTACAAAGTGAGCCCAAGGCCAGTCTGAACTTCATAGAGAGACCCTGTCTCAAAAAGACTGAAAGAGGGGCTGAGGATTTAGCTCCATGGCATAAGCACCTGCCTTGCAAGTGCAAGGTCGGAAGTTTGATCCCTAGTACAAAAAAAAAAAAACAGAAAAAAAAGAGCTATGTATTTTTTACATAATTATTCATGGAAATACACAGAAAGGTCTCTCAAATTCTAGGGAAAGAATGATAAATGATACTGACTGAGCCCTGACATTATGAAGCTTATAGTCCAATAGGCTTCTTTCATATGAAGTCGAACGTGTACAGTGAGAAACAGGACTATACAGTAGGGTCAGCTTTAAGGTATGCACATATGGTTTAACAACAGTAACAATTAAATGACCACCCAAAGAGGGGTGAAGCTGTGTGAGCTCTTTCTATGCTAGAAAGGGATTTCTGTCATTTTTGGAGCAAGTTTACCAGTTAATTATATGTTTCATTATTATCCTCCCCACTAACATTTGTAGATACCACTGAAGAGCTTGCTTTTATGATTTTTGTTATGTACTTATCTATCTCAAAAGTAAAAGTTTTCTTTGGGGTTTGCTACAACCCACACAGCTGGACTTGCAGGAACCGTGTACTATTAATTTATATATATACTGTCAAACAGGTTAATAAATGTCAGTGAAATACAATCAACTCATTATACTACACTACATGCCACTTGTGATCCCTAAACCTTTGGCAGCCCTGTACTGAGAAATGAGCCCAGGCCCTTCACACTGAGCTATATCCTCAGCCCACCTCCCACTCTCTTTCTGTGAGACAGGATCTTGCTAAGCTGCCCAGCCTGGGCTCAAATTTGCAATCCTCCTGCCACAGCCTCTCAGGGTGCTGGAAGTATACATGCGCGTTGCCACACATAGCTAGTTCTCCTACTTACCCACTTTGTTATAACTGGCTTTATGGAGACTTCGGTTAACATAGTCTCATTTCAATTAATTCATTAAAAACTTCTAAACCAACTTTCAGTAAGAAATGTAAAATACTAACTTTAGAGTCTGCATGGCCATGCTTAAGGAATTATAAAGAGATGGTTCTCCATGACAGGTCATATCAATAGCTTTCTTCAAAGATGTTATGTGTTTCCTTAAATTAAATGGAACAATTTGCTTTTATAAAATGCCATTAAAAACTACTACACATACAATATGAACATGTTGGGCAACCCATTTGGGACCCTGCTTGTTTCTATTCCCCCCACCCATTTTCCCAATAAATTTTTCTATGCTTAATTTGTAAAAAAAAAAAAAAAAAAAAAAAAAAAACGAGCCAATTTTGTGTCGAGGTCTCACCGTCTCACTATATAGTCTTGACCTTTCTGTGCAATCCAAGCTGGTCTTGATCTCAAGATCCTCCTGCCTAAGCCTCCCAAGCAGCTACGATTATAGACATGCCCACCGTGTCTGGCTCCAGAGGATTTTTAATCTTCATACATGTGACCTCAGTGGCACACAAAATTCCTCTACATCTGGGGTGGAAAAGTCAAGACAGGAGGGAGCAGCTCCTGCCACCATCATGTAACCATCCTGTTTGGCCCATGCTGTGCTGAGCCTGCGGCCATCCTGCCTCCATTCTGCTTGGGGCACAGGAATACAACCCCAGATGGTGGCCAAACTCCTCACTGTCCTGTGGTGCTGGTAGCTCATGGGTAGGCAGATGGTGAAACCAAAGTCTCTCTGCACCTGGGTGTAGCTGGACAAGGGCCATGCAGGCATAAGGCTGCTGTCAGAGACCTTTTCATCTCACAGGAACCTGACCAAAGGCTGAAGCCAGACAAGGCCTGATGCTTAGAAACAACTACCACATGTGTCAGCACAGAACACAGAGGGCACAGAGGTAGGTCGTTGTGAGCTGCAGAAAGCTAGTTATGGCCCCACCTCTAGTGCTAGAGACCAAACCAAACTGGGGCCTTCCAGAGCCACACTTCCAACCGAAACTGTTATATTTTCTTGCAACTGAGTTTCTTGGATCAATCCATATAAATAAACCTCTTATTCCTTACAGTCATAGTGAAAAATTATTCATAAGCACAGTGTGTCACTTCACTTATGCATTACAAAGATGGAGAAATTGATTTAAGGTAGAGCTATTTTACAAAAAGTAAAATGGAATTAAATGATGTCAGTTTGTAGCAGCACATATAGGTAAGAAAATAAAAACGGCCATTATTATTTTTTATGAGGTAAAATTCAGTTATGTGAGGTAAAATTCATGTTATATGAATAGAAAAGTGGACTCAGTGAACAACAGCTATAATTCAGGCCAGGGATTTAGGTCAGTGGCAAGGTGCCTGCCTGGGAGGTGCAAGGTTCTGAGTTCAATCCCCAGTACCAAAAAAAAAAAAAAAAAAGCTATAATTCAGTTTTTATACATGTGCTCTTTAAATTCAATGTTTAACTTTTTGAAAACTCAAGTTGAAGATTAAGTGGATTTTATGAATGGTTTCAATAAGATTATTTTAATATTTTCAGAAAATATTAAAGACTGTACATATCTTAAAGAAACAGATTCACATTCACAGTAATACTATTCACCACTGTGCAGAACTCAGTTTAAAACAGTTAATCTTAGATTCCAAGAGTTTAATGGGAAAACAGGCATTATTAAGTTATTTCACCTAAAAGGCATACAGGAAGGTGTCATTTTACTCACGAAACACCCATAAGAACAGGGTTACACGTCTGGGTAATTAAGACAAAGTGCCTGTGTCCTGGAAAGGTAATATAACGCATACCTGAGAGTTCAGTCAGTTTTTCAGCTCTTTTACTCTTAGTTACAATTAATTATGCCAATCTCAAAACAAAACAAAAAAAGATCATTAATTTCATATGACAAATTACTTCCTCTTGATAAAATTTATGTAAAATAAATTGGGCTGGGGATTTAGCTCAGCGGCATAAGCACCTGCCTTGCAAGTGTGTGATCGTGAGTTCGATCCCTGGTACCAATAAAAAACGAAAAAGACAAAAAAAAAAAAATTGTAAAAAAATAAATTAGTATGCCTACAAAAGAAATAAGCAACACATGAGAAACTTTTCCTCATGGTATTTTGAACAAATAAATTTAGCTGAGTTTACCACCTACAATTAAACTTTTAGTTATTTTGCTTTTTGCTAAATGTATCCAAAAAGAATATATAATCTAGATCACTTAGCAAATGATACAATGTATATCCTATTTTTTAAAAAACAAATTACAGTATATTTGGTAGCAAAATAGTTATGCAAGTCGGAATTCTATCATTTATCTACATACTTGACTGATAGGATTTTGATCAAAATACTCTTCTACAAAGTACTCCAACAACTGTTTAAAGAGAACAAAAAGAAGTATTACACAAGGGCAAAAAACAACCAAACATACAATTATGCTTTGATAAACCTGTTTATCAAGGATCCCTTCTGATATTCTGTTTTCTTTTTCTTTTTGTGCTGCTAGGGATGGAACCCAGGGCTCTGCACAAGCTAGGGAAGCACCTACCATTAAGCTACAATCCCAGGCCAAATGTCATTATTAAGTTATTTCACCTAAAACACACAGGAAGACTTCGTTCCTTCAAACTCCCATAAGATATTTAAACTTACAGATTTTCAAGAAAATGTTTAGTTGCAAGAATATTAAATACTAAAAACTATATTTGAAATAGTAGGTGATAAAACAATAATGACCCAGATTTTTTTAGATTTGATTTTGCTTTATGGTATTGAAGACTGAATCCAAGGCCTTGGTATCAAGCTATATCCCATACCCTTTTTATTTATTTTGAGACAGGGTCTTGCTAAATCACTGAGTTGTCCAGGCTGGGCTCAAACTTGTAATCCTCCTGCTTCAGCCTCCAGCTGGGATTATAGGCGTTTCCCACCATGCCCAACTTGAATGAATTAGAAGTAAGCACAATGGCAAGCACCTTACAATTCCAGCGGCTTAGCAAATTGAGGCAGGGGCTGGGGATATAGTTCAGCAGCACAGCAGCTGTGTGTGGCAAGTGCAAGGTCATGAGTCCAATTCCCAGTACCAAAAAAAAAAAAAAAAAAAAAAAGTAGAAGAAGAAAGGAAAAGGGCTGGGGATTTAGCTTAGTGTGGTGCAGCAGCTGCCTGATAAATACGAGGTCCTAAATTTGATTCTCCGTACAAAAAAGAACAAAAAAACAAAAACAAAAAATTTGAGGCAGGGGGCCCTCTTATGTGGCTAGAAGTTCAATGCCAGCCAAGGTCCCAACTCAAAAAGAAAAACAAAACAAAAATAATTGAAAGAAGGAAAGACCCACTGAGGACAGGGAAGGGAGAACAGGAAGATGGGGGACGGGGCTTCATGAGTTAGGACGACTGTGGATATGTCTGTAAGCTGAGAAGACAGATTCAAGGAAGTGAACGGAGAATGAAGATTCAGTGAAGGAAAGGGACAAGTGACAAAACAAGACCCTGACTTGGGACAGAAAGGCGGAAATCAGACTTACATAGTTAGCAGGTAAGGCTTATTATTTCCTTGTACTATTTCCTTGTAGCATATCTCTTAGCTGTCACTTATATCAACTAGAAAAAAATTTCCTGCACTTTTTTCCAGAATCCACTGTCCCTCCTGCATTTGGGACACATGTAAATGACTTTAAGTGATCTTTCTGTACCTTTAATGTACATGTCAGTCTATTAGGCTTTAAATCTTGGTCCTCCATTGTCCGCAGTCCGTCTATCACCACATAAAGGTGGCGCATCTACCAAAAAGGAAGGGAATAATCTCCGGTCACATCTTTCACCAAGAAGTAAAACTGCATTCAATAGTCACGTGTTCTGAACATAGCTTTTAATATATTCTTTTAAAAAGTTTGTTGCTTTATTATTGTTCATTCTGTAAGAGCCAGAATGTTTCTGTAATCCAAACTAGTTCTGTACCAGTAAAAGAAAAAAGATAACGTACCATTCCAAGGCGAACTTGTCCATGGTGTTCAAATACTCTGTTAAAATTATACAAGCATTTTAATGGAATATTATATGTTATTCAAAAAGTCAATACAGCTTGCTAAATAATATGCATTTTTTTAGTGAAGTCAATTATTAACTTTTGGAATACACATAATTATAGAGATTGTAGATAATTCCTGAAACCCATTTCCCTACTGAGGTAAGGTATGATAGTACCAGTTCTTTCTGCCTATTCAGACAACTACCAGTCATTTTCTCTGAAACACAAAAGGAAATGAAGTTCTAAGATAGTCACAGGTGGGCCAAAAGGTTCAGGGACACAATTTCCTTTCATGACAAACTCAGGAAGAATTTACCGGCCTTTTTCTTTTTGCCTTGAAAAGAATGTCTTCTATGGTAGCTTTAAGTGAGCCAGATTCATCTTCTTTAAGAATTTCCCTGTAAGTAATAATGGTTTAAAATATAAGCTAAAAATAACCCAAAAATTAAAGAGGTGGATAGATACTTGTACATGTGTGTTCACAGTATGATTCTATGTAATTGTGAAAACTGTAAACAACCTAAATGTCCATCAGCTGCTGAACTGATAAAACAAAAATATGTCTTAACAATATAATAGAATACTATTTGGAAGTTTAAAAAAACAAGCTTGGGGGGCTGGGGATTTAGCTCAGCGGCATAAGCACCTGTCTTGCAAGCACGTGGTCGTGAGTTCGATCCCCAGTACCAGAAAAAAGAAAAAAAAAAACCAAGCTTGGTATGGTGGCACATGCCTATAATGCCAGCTACTTGGGAGGCTGATGCAGGAGGATCAGAAGTTCAAGGCCAGCCTGAGCAACCTATACGTTAACTCAAAATAAATAAATGAAAAGTGCAGTGAATATAGCTCAATGGTAAAGCATCCCCAGGTATAATCCCCAGTACTCATCCCCGTCATCTCGCAGGGAACCAATTCAGCTACTTAAGAGACTGCGGCAGAAAGACTGTGAGCTCAAGATCAGCCTGATAACACAGTAAGATCCCACCTCAAAGAAAAGGGAAAAAAAGAAACAAAGCACTAACATACTCTACAACATAGAAGAGCCTTGAAGCAGTATATTAAGTGAATGCCAGATACAACACACCACTTTTGTTTTGGTACCAGAGATCGAACTCATGACCTAGCGCTTGCCAGACAGGCACTTAGGCTGCTGAGCCAAATCCCCAGCCCAACGCACCACATATTATATGATTATGGGAAATACAAAGGGAAAATCTATAATAAACAACATAAATTAGTGGGTGTCTACAGGCAGTGAAAATGGAATTAAATGTAAGTAGCCATTAATTAAGTAGTCATTGGAGTAGTTAAAGTGTTCTTAAAACTAGTTTATAGGAGGAAAAAAGGACTGATTTATGGTGCCACATGCCTGTAATCCCAGGTCTCAGGAGGCTGAGGCAGGACTGTGAGCTCGAGATCAGCCTGGGCTACAAAGCGAGCTCAAGGTCAGCGAACTGCATAGGGAAACCCTGTCTCAAAAAGACAATGGCTTATGATAGGAAATTTTCGGGCTTATGATAGTGAATTTTCTAAAAACAATCACTGAACTACACACTGGAAGTGGGTGATTTTTAACACATATAAAGTAATTTCAATAAAGATGTAAGCAAAAAGATAATATCTACAAGAAAAAAGAGGCCTTAATGCCATACTTACCAAGTTCTCTCATAGCCTCCTTCCCATCGCTTAGTTCTTTCAGGTTCTTCATCCATATTTTAAAAAGTGTGTATTATTCAGTACTCTGTAAAAGCCATAAGACTATGAATGTTCTAAACATGTCTGTACAAAATGCATCCACTTACTTAAAAGTTAAATGGCGGGGGGCAAGCATGATGGCACATACCTGTAAACCCAGCACTCAGGAGTCTGAGACAGGAGGACTGCAGTGAGCTCAAGGCCAGCCTGAACTACAAAGACAGAGCATGTCTCAAAAACCCAAAAATGGACTGGGGATATAGCTCAGTGGCATAAGTGCCTGCCTGGCAGCTGCAAGGTCATGAGTTCAACCCCCAATACCAAAACCAACCAACCAACCAACCAAAAAAACCACTGATGGGTATGGCAATGCATACTGTATTACAAACTACTCTGGAGGATGAGGTAGAAGGCTTTCAAGCTCAAGGCCAGGGTGGGCAATTAAGCAAAACTGTCTCAAAATAAAATTCAAAAGAAGAGCTGTGGCTATAGCTCAAAAGCAATTGCCTAACATGCAAAAGGCCCTGGATTTAACCCCTCGAACCAGAAGAAGAAAAATAGGAATGTAAGTACATCTTTTTTTTTGGTCTTTTTCTTTTTTATTGGTACCAGGGATCGAACTCACAACCACACACTTGCAAGGCAGGTGCATATGCCGCTGAGCTAAATCCCCAGCCCCAAATGTAAGTACATCTTATTCTTTGTACTTTACTCAATCATTTTTGTTAGGCCCAAAGATATAGCTCAGTGGCACAGCCTTTGCTTGGGCAAGTACGAGGTCATGAGTTTTTTGTTTTGTTTTTCTGTCTTGTCTTTTTTTGAGACAGGGTCTCACTATTTGGTTCAGGCTGTCTTCGGGCTCACTTTGTAGTCCAGCCTGGTCTTGAACTTTTAACAATTCACCTCCCTCAGTCTCCTGAGTGCTAGGATTACAGGAGTGTGCCACCACACCCAGCAAGGTCATGAATTTGATCCTCAGCACCAAAAAAAGAGAAAAAACAAATTGTTATTAGTGAAAATATCCAAATATGAATATTTATGAACAAACAGGATTCCAATACAAATAAACACCCTTTTACAATTTGTGAAAGAATAAAAATGCTTTATGGACATCACAAAATAAGAACATAGATTTATGGGAGTCAATACAGGTGTTAGCTGAAATATTATCCATAAGTGACATTTACCACAATTGGTAAGTATCTGATGATTCATTACGTTCTCTCTCCACCTTTGTGCAGGTTGGAATATTTTGTTTTGAGGCAGGGTCCTATTATGTAGCCCAGGCTGACCTTAAATTCATGCTGATCCTCCTGCCTTGGCCTCCCAAGTGCTGGGATTACAGATGTGTGCCACCTCACCTGGCTGTAGGTTTGAATTTTATTATCAAGTTTTTAAGAATGAAACATCATTTATAAATAGCTAAATGCTTAAATATCATAAGTCAAAAGAATAAAAATAAATAGCCAAGTGTGGTGGTGTATACCTGTAATCCCAGGGGCTGAGGCAGGAAGATTACCACAAGTTTGAGGTCAATCTGGGCTACATAAAGAGTCCAAATTCAGCCTGAACTACATAAAAAACAAACAAAACCAAGAAACCAAACAACAAAAACACCAAAGTTGGTGATAGAAAGAACCCATGAACCATAACCAAGTAATACACATCTCTAGCACACCCAACCTCCACCCTCCTCAGTGGTGTCTCCTGGCCCAACCCAAGATGAGTCATATACCCTGTCCCTGGCATGGATAAAGATAACTTTTTAGTCAGGATGAACTGTTTTCCACACCCTACTCTGCCTTCTTAGGCCTCTACTTGCTAGATAACATGGCAATAAGGAGGAGTGCCTGACCACTGTACTCTCACTATATGAGGTTAGATTCCAGAGTTGTATTGCAGCCTAGGGGCCTTTGACTAAGGAGAAAAAACAGAAGAAAACACCTATCCCTTGGCAAAATCTTCCTTACCCTTTAAATTCCATACAATTGTAAATGGAGAATGTACTGAAACTGTTCAGTATGACAAATATATTTAGTATATTTGACACAGTCTATACTGACTAGATTTTCATTTCAAGAATGTCAACAGGAAGTTGACCAAGGACTAAGTGTGGTTTCAGAATTCAAGGATAAGTTTACAGAAATTTGCCAAAAATATGAAGTTGTTAAGGAAAATAATGTGACTGACCAATGTTTGCATGTGTGTTGAAACAGTCTCACTACATAGTTCAGGCTGGGTTTGAATTCACCATGTACTCCAGGCTGGCCTCAAACTTGTGGCAATCCTCCTGCCTCAGTCCCCCCCAGTGGTTGGACTCCAGGGGTGCACTACTACACTTGGCTTTTGGCACTGACCTATGTTGATGGCTGTCTCCAGCCCTGAGCTGGAGGAGTGGCTGATCCTAAATTGAGGGAATACATCCCCACCTGGACTCATCCTTCTTCGCCTGTGTCTCAGTAACTATGACTCTCACATATAAGGGTGTTATCCCTGCTCCTCCAGAATCTTTCCTAATTGCCCAGGAAGACTTATCAATTCACCAAGAATAAAAGATTTTCTCTAAGTGCCCGTCTGCCTACCTAAGGTAATTGTATATCAATAAGATCTTCCTCTACCTGCTCGGTAATGCTTAGCCTTGAAATAAATATATACAGAGAAAATCTGCCCAAAAAAGGTACACACATTTTAGAAAAACTTGTATCAGTGTTTTAATACTTTATCTGTGGAGGACCCTAAATGATGTCCTGTATCGCAGGACACTACACTGCTGGCCGTTAGAGAAGAAATTGAAAATGCATGAGCAGCAGTCTTAGCGACCAAGGTGACCCATGCAGCAGTTCAATATACTAATAAATGTCAGGAAACTAATAAGCACCACTTTGAGTACTTGTTGTAATTGTAGGTAACGTATTAATCTTATGATGCCTCAATAAATTAACTATCAATAAAATATTCAACCAAGTGGGGTTTTTTTTGTAGACTTGTTTTGTTTTGCTTTATTTTTCATAAAAGGTCCTGCTATGTTTCCCAAGCTGGTCTCAAACTCCTGCCATCAAATAGTTCTGCCTCAGCCTCCAAAGCAGCTGGGGCCATAGGTAGTTGGCACCAGGTGCAGCTTTTGGAACAATTTTTTTTTTTTTTTTAAAGAATCTGCCTCTTAGAGCTGCTGGCACACTTCTGTAATCCCAGCAGTCAGGAAGTTTAAGTAGGCAGATTGTTGCAAATCTGAGACCAGCCTGGGCTACAAAGTGTTTCCAAAGCTAGCTTGAATCTCACCAAGGGTTCTTTTTGTTGTTGTTTGGCCTTTTGTCTTTTTGAGACAAGGTCTCACTATGCAGTTCAGGCTAGTCTCCAGCTCCCTTTGTACCCCAGGTTGGTCTCCAACTTGCAATGATCCTCCTGCTTCAGCCTCCAGAACGCTGGGATTAAGATGTGTGCACCACCACAGCTAACTTACAACTTTTTCTCTTCCTTACATGTGTACACATATTTTTAGCAGACTCTGTAAATATAGATAAGGAACATAACCAATGTTTTACCCTCCATTTGTATCATGCTTTTATAGAAAATACTTTAAAATTAGAGGCGACCTATAAAGGCACTTGTGAAATTAAAATCCACTGATAAGTTGGAGACTACTGCTAAGGTATCACTTTTTTGTGACACCTTATAATCAGATGTTATTAGCTAAAATTCCGAACATTTTCCACTGAATTAACAAACCACACACTGTAAGAAATTAATTTCTTTCAGGAATTTGGTGATCTGCTGTAACAACCTGAAAAACTAGAAATGACAGTAAGTTTAACATTTGTGCTATTCCGCACATGGTAGCATAGTACACAGTGACTAAACACTGTCCTATTTTCAGTATTTATCCTGCACATCAAAAAAAAAAAAAAAAAGGACACGTAGTGTTCAGTTATTTTGTTGGACGAGATTGAAATGGTATCTGCAAAGCAACGTGAGCGGCACCCAGCACCGCCCTCGGGAAGGCATTCGCTGATAAAAGAGGCAAGTTAGCACTGGGCCTGCCCGCCAAGTGCGAACTCAGGGCTCCGAGGTGGGCAACTCAACCGCTGCCACAGAACCAGCCCAGAAGAGGGCTCGCACCCCGACCACCATTCCAGTCCTCGCGCTGGGCCCCAGGCGGAACCACGTCCGCGTCCGCGGCCCTGCGCGTCCTTCGCCACCTTCCGCGCTCCCTGCCACAGTACTTCCCTACTGGGCCAGCCAGGCCAAGTCGGCCGGTCCTCCGCCCGACAGCCTCCCAGGCGTCTCGCCCAACCTCCCGCCCGCCGGGCCAGGGCACACCCCAGCTGCACGTGCGGACTCACCGGCCCGACGCGAACGACTCTCCGCCGGAAGCGCCGCCCGCCTAGAAGCGCGCCGCTGAAGCTCTTCCGCAGAGCGCTGCAGCCTGGCAGAAACGTTCCGGCTGCTGCGGACAGCAGCTGCCAGAGCAGGGTGCAGGCCGGGGAGCGGCGGGGCCAGCTGAGTCGGCCGGCGGCGGTAGCCGCGCTCCGCTGGGGCCGGTTGGAGGAGACTGATTTGATTTCTAAAAGATTTCAACGAAAGAGGCTGACTGCGCCTGTTCATCTCACAGGATTTATTAAGCTCCGACTTTGCGCTTGAAACCTCTGGAGCCACTGAGGAAACAGCAATGAAATCTGACCAGAAAAACACTTTGGACTTGGAATTTCGCTTTAAGGACAGTGATCTAGAAGAGCGCACTGTGCCCACTGTGCTCTGTAAGGATGGTGCTGCCGAGAGAAATTAAGATTGGAGAAGGAAAGGGTTGCAGTTCAAAGTAAAGGTGGTCAGAGGAAGTTTTCAGGACAACAGGCGAGCCATAGTCCAGTGAAGGAAAATGTTCACCACACTCCTACCTGGGGAAAGAGCTGTGGAGGCAGAGGGGCTGGGAGTGCAAAGGCCCTGAGGCAGAATCACCTCAGTGTGGATAGGGGGACTCCAAGATGAGCATGTGGCAGCTGAGAGCAGTGCAGATGGTGAGGTGGTTTTACTCTAAATCTTGTGAATAGGGTGGCTGTATATTATGAAAGAAGAACCAGAGGTTTTAGCTGCGCAGCTTTAAGGGTGTAGTGCACCTTTGAGGTTGGTTGGGGGATCACATCAGTTTACTTTGGGCAAGCTGATATGCCTATTAACACGATGGAGTTACATTTCCAGGCTTGGAAAGTGGAGAAGCAGGGAAGTTCCAGAGTCCCTGCAAAGGTTAGGACCAGGAGAGATAGTAGAAAGGAGCTCCATGAACTGGGACTTTTTCTTCCCCGTCGGCATATCTACCCGTTGCTTATTTTGTTTTGTTGGTACCAAAATCTTCCCCATATGCATCAGGCCTCAATCAAAAATGTTGACAAAAAAATAAAAAAAGTTGCCAAAAGGTTTCCTACATTGTACTGTAAATAAAAGAGCTGGATTTAAAATCAAGGTCTGGCCAGCATGGTAGCACATGCTTATAATCTCCACACTTTAGGAGGCCGAGGCAGGCCTGCAACATCAAACTCATCCTAAGCAACTGAGATTCTGACTTCGAATAAAAAATAAAAGGCCTGGGTTCAATCCCTAACGCCGTAAAAACACAAGTACATTAGATCAGGCTCTGATGCCACCTGTGGGCTTCAAGCAGTCACGGCCTAAACCAGGGAGGCCATCTGTAAAACACCAGGGAGGCCATCTGTAAAACAGAGGGCTCCACCTCCACAGGGGTGGTGGCAGCAAGAGGGAAATGGAGAGATACTAGCACTGCTGCTTGTTTCTTTGTGCCCGGAGCCTTGTAGCCTGGCCGCCCTCATACCTTTCACCCTTGTCCAGGACACACGACTTACACTTTTCCTTTCTCTTACCTACCCACTCCTCTCTCATTCTTTCCCCTTTCCCTTTCTTCCTTGCCCTGTAATCAGCCATCCTAGTCCCAGGAAGGGGGCGTGGCCATGCAGCAAAGAACTGTAACTCCAAACCCTGTTTGTTAGCCACCACTCTGGGAAGACTTTTTTTTTTTTTCCAAAAACCATGAAAAGGTCAGAAGATTCTCCCGACAAATATGAAGCATCTTTGTGAAAGACTGACACATTAAGGATTTTCCCAACTGTAACTTGCATAAAGGAAGGGTTAGTAGAGGAGAGCAAAGCATGTGTAAATCCATGGTAATCTCCCGGAGTAATGATAGCTGATACTCTAATCATATCCAAAGTGGTAGAATAAAGGAACTATCCAATTTAGCCAAATGCTTTTCTCCACTTGTAAAACTAAGGAACTACAATAAAGAATGAATCTATTCTTTGCCCATGGCTAGTGTCTTGGTTACTTTTTATCTTGTTGAGACCAAAATATCTAATGCCCAATGTGAAGGGGAAAAAAAAGTTTATTTCTTAGTTTTTGGAGGTTTCAGTCCATACTCAGCTGGGTCCAAGGCAGGGTGGCATGGCACTGGGGCAACACTTCAAGACAGCAGCCAGAACAAAAAGGAAGAAAACAAGCCTTTTCTCCTGGTTTATATTGTACACAGGCCATGCCCGCACCCAGGGTGGGTGTAGCACTCAGGAAATCTCCTTGCCCTCCTTTGCACAGGATGAGGATATTTACAAAGTAAGAACCCTGGCTCCCTGCTGAGTCTCTCACACTTCTAAACTGCTCAAATTGACACAATGTATTAACCATAAGGACATAATCCGGAATGTGGAAGTTCATCAGCAGCTCAGCCAGTGCAATCTAAGTAAATAGACAATGGATGTGACCTGGAAGACCAGCAGAGATAGACTTTCTTTTCCTTTTTTTGAGACAAGGTCTCACTGTGTAGTTTAGGCTGGCCTTGAACTCATTCTTGTAGCCCCAGCTGGCATCAACCTCACACAGTTCTCCCTTTGCCTCCTGAAGTGCTAGAAAGTAACTCAGATCCACAGTTTGCTACAGCAGTTTAAAAAAATTTTTTTTAAATGTTATTTACTTCGTGGTACTGGAGACTGAACTCAGAGCTGTTACACTGAGCTACATACCCAGCCTTTTTTTTTTTTTTAAGTTTTAGTCTGGGGATGATAAAATAAGTTGCTCAAACTGGGATAGAATTTGGGATCCTCTTGCTTCAGGCTTTCAGAGTTGGGAGTAGAAGCACATATACCACTCAGTTCATGATCTTCACTTGTAAATTCTATTTGTTCTATCCCTAGAGGCATTTGTTCACCACCTAGGAATAGTCACATGCCAAGCCTAGTGCTTACCTATATGGCGTAAGAGGATTTAAAGCTGTACCCAGCAAAGACTAAGCTATGGGATAGGAACACACATACTCCCCCCCCCACCACCACCACTTTAGTGGTACTGGGGATTGAACCCAGGTCCTCTGCACTGAGTCACATCTCTAACCCATGTTTTTTGAGATAGGGTCTTAACTAAATTTCCTCAACTGGGCTTGAATTTGCAATTCTTTGCCTCAGCCTCCCAAGTGCTGGGATTACTGGGATGCACTACACACTTGACTAAACATACACTTTTTTTTGAGACTGGGTGGTGTTATGTAGTGTAGGGTACCAACACAGTCAGCTAAACATAGACTTTTAAAAACATAATTTGTTGGGGCTGGAGGTTTAGTTCAGTGGCATAAGCGTCTGCCTTGCAAGCAGGCAGTCGTGAGTTCGATCCCCAGTACCGATAAAAACCAAAAAGACAAAAACAAAAACATAATTTGTTTTTGTTTTTGGTACCAGGGATCAAACTCATGACCTAGCACTTGTGAGGCAGGCTAAATCCCCAGCTTTAAAAACACAATTTGTTAAAATCTCTTAGTTTCAATTGGGTGTGGTGACGCATGCCTGTAATCCCTGTGGTCAGAAGGCTGTGGCACTCCTGCCACGTGGCACCCCAAGTTGGAGGCCATCCTGGAATATATGGTAGGTTCCACTCCAATTTGGACTATATAGCAATACTGGTCTCAAAAACAAAACAGTAGAGCTTATTAATTTCACTCTTTGGAAGACTAACTGGCCGTACTATGTTTGGACAAGGACTGCTCATACATTCCCTTCACAATGAGATCGTTGCATTTGTCACACTTACCTTCACAGTAAAATGCTATCTTTTACAAATAACAGAAAATTGAGGTTCAGGAGGGGCTGGGGATTTAGCTCAGGGCATAAGCAAGAGCTTCTTTTTATGTATATCTCCTACCTGTTCTTCTGGTAACTTAGAGCAAGTTCTGTTTACATGATGCCACTTGCAGCAGTTGTAGACAGCTGTCATGATCACACATAAATGTCCTGATCATTTCACTGAGGGAATTAAAATATTATAAGTCGGATTAGTGGCATATGCCTTTAATCCAAGCTGTTTAGGAGTTAGAGGTGAAAATCAAAAAGTTTGAGGCCAGTCTCAGCAATGTAGCCAGAGCCTGTCTCAAAATGAACAAATTAAGCTGGAGCCAGCTGCGGTGGCACACACCTGTAATCCCAGCCCTCGGGAAAGCTGAGGCAGAAGGATCCCTACTTCAAACCCACCCTAGGCAATTTGGCAAGACCCTGTGTCCAAATACAACAGTGCTGAGAAAGTAGCCTCCTTTGAAGGCCCAAGGTGAAGTCCCCAGCACTGCAGAAAAATAAACGGAATGACGGCGTGGGCATGAAATAGTGAAGTGGAGAGGCACCCTGGGTTTGATCTGCACTGCCAGAAAGTGTTCTTTGTACTGGGAGTCATTCTCAGATCAAAATAGAATGTACAGCCCAGCTGCTATTAACTCAAATTTTTCTGCTGTTTGAAATAATGAGGAAATACTCTACTGCTTACTTTTTGTAGATCTTTTTTAATAGAATTCTCATGTATAATATATTGTTTTATTTTAACCTAACAGAATTAAAACATGCTTCGGAAAGTAAGCTTCTAAAACTACAAACTGAGAATAAAAAAACTGAGAAAGGAGCTGGGCAGTATGGAAAATTCAGACAAGATAAACACCATGCAACAAAGCCTACAGACAGAGATGGAGCTTGCTACAGTTACTCAACATGTATTCCAGGTAACATTTGTATAAATCAGGAAAGGAGGGATAAAGATCTTTTAAAAACACTGCTGATATGGATACCTTACCATGGTTTAGGTTAGGCTGTGGTCATAAGATATTTCAGTACAAGGACTGAGTACGTAGCCGCACTGGAGAACGCTTGCCTAGCATTGGTGAGGCCCCAAATTCAGTCCCAGCATTGCAAAAATCGTACTTGTCTACTGATATTTGCTGTAAAATTCATGTACAGTAATGTACATTTCTAATGTACATTTTACAGAATATGTAAAATTCATGTACAGTCAGCATTTAGGGGTTCATTTTTCATTGTGGCTAATCATTAGGATTTATAACTGGCATGTTTTCTATAGCTCTGCTGGTAATTTGGTGTACAGCTTTATTTTAGCCTCCAAGTTTGAGGACAGAGGGGACCTGGGTGAGAGTGGCAGCTAAGAAGGTGACTGCTGCCACTGGGAATTTAGCTCAAGTGGGTGCTCAAGGACATGGGGTTGATCCCAACCCCATCACACAGAGAGAAATATCAGCATGATGACTGGTCCAACTGAACTCTAGTAAATGTTGCCGTAAGATGTTTCCTCAGAGACATTAATGGAAAAAAAGACAGACAGACAGACAGACAGACAGACAGGAAGAAAGAATGAAAGAAAGAAAAAAGAAAGAGACAGAAATACAGAGAAA